TATATACACAGTATATATAATTTTGCAGACCTTCAGTTTCCACTCTGAGGACCCACCGGCGTCTCGAACCCCATTTTGAGAACCACCAAATTTACTTAAAGTGCCATCTCTATCTGCACTCCACACCAGTAGGAGGCAGCGTGTTATATTTTGTCGAGTACCATATACCTTTGATTGTACGGTGATACCTCATATCGATGCTGTATTTTTTTTTTTCATGAGTGTGAAGTAGGAACGGGGAACCCCCACGGCACAATATTTAGCCCACATTTATTTTCGGAACTTCAAAAAAAAAATTTTTTTTTTTTTTAAATCACAAAATGTTGCACTCTGAGTTGTGAATCTCTGAGTATCTTATTAGGATGCAACTGTTAAAAAGAAGAAGAAAAAAAAAGGTTCCCCATGCCTGCTTCAAATCCCGACATTACTTTTGTTCTCATATTCCATGGTTATAGATCATGGACATCATCATCATGTTTATGGACGCCGCAGGTGGAGCATGTTGCGTCTTGACATATCTCCTGTCGCGCGTTTATTGCCTGTGTACAGACAAATGAGTGGCGTGCGCCCTAATGGAGAGCAAAGCACAGAGCTGTTAACTACCTAAATCCCCATAATGGGCTCACATATTGTAGGAGAGGTTCTATTCTAGAGTCTGCTGTAAATAATATCACACAGTACGTATATATTTGTAAAGTGGTGTTGGCTTATTCATCACCGGATATGCAATAAACAAAAAGGTAATAATGCAGTTTAAAAAAAAGGGATTTAGCAAATTCACCCCTTGGGTGACTTTTATGTGACAATGTTATGTTTTTTTTTTGTTTGTTTGTTTTTTAAGTGCTTGTCCACTCTGAAGGGATATTAGGGCCACAATGAAAAGAAAAAGTAATCACCCTCCTGTCATATGTTTTCGAGCTTAAAGGTGTAATACTATGAGAATAAAGTTATAGTTTTTGCAGTAAATTTAAAAAAAAAAAAAATTTCAGTGTGGCCCTAAATATTCCTTTGCTTCCTTTTTTTTTGCCAGTCCCAAAAAAATCCTCACTGTCTCTCTATCATAATTACTGACAAGAACGGCAGCTTCCAAAAGGTCCACCAGGCCGGGCAGACAACAACCACTTGCAAGTACCGTATTTTCCGCACTGAAAGGCGCACCTAAAAGCCTTCCATTTTCTTAAAAGCTCACAGCGCGTCTTAAAATCCGATGCCCCTTGTGTATGGTTATTACGGTAATATGTCGACCCCCAAAATGGCTCCTTGCTCGAGACATACTGACAACGCAGAGTTCAAACTTAAGGCGATCGGTTACGCAGTTGAACACGGAAATAGAGCAGCGGCAAGAGAGTTCAACGTTAACGAGTCAATGTTATAACTTGCTGTTGGTTAAGTGAAACGTGTCGCTGCTTTATGATATACGTTTTACTGACATCTGATCGTTCTCTTGGTGTTTCCTTGAGCGTGGCTCCATCTGGTGGATGCATTGTAGATTGCAACATATAATGCAATGCGCCCAATGTATGAAAAAAATTACAAAATAGGCCATTCATTGAAAATGCGCCTCATAATCCAGTACGCCTTTTAGTGGGGAAAATACGGCACAAGTGGAAGAACGGGACTCGGAATACGCGTGAAGCACACTGTAAATATCACACCGGCTTTCGATTGGCAGCCTCTGGTGGCTTTTATAAGGGCAACGACCGTATAAACTGCCACTGTATCGCCACACAAACATACGGCGACGTGCACATGACTATATTCTACTCTTCTATTATGTGATATGACCAAGAATATGACATGTATAATCCAGCCTGGCCTTGAATGCAGTGTTATGTAACTAAGAAGCACATACCATGTTGTCGAAGCAAATTGTGAGTCCGTGTCAAATTATGGAAGCAAGCCTGTATCGCTTGCATTTTTTGGAGCCATATTTTCACGTCGCAGGCTCACTTCACGTCTGTCACCGTGTGCCGCGAATCTGTTTGCATCGTAGAATGTGACGTAGTGCCCGGGCCGAGAAGAGAACACGCACACGGTTCAATGTAAACTGGTTTGCAGCGTATCTAGTTCAGCAATAAGTCTGTCGTACACGATATCCCTTTATATGCTTTTGTACATACAACATACATGCAAATGTCGACGGAGGCCAGGACACGTTCGGAGTCAAACAGCCATTGTTATTTTTTGGAGAACATGAATTATGTTTTTTGTACATGAGCCACTGACTTTGGTTTCAACAAAAAGCACCTTGGGAAAAAAAATTAAGTTGTCTTGGCTCTTTTTTTTTTTTGTCATTGTTTCATAACCAGGTTGGGGTCGTTGTTTACTATCGTTCCTCTGGAGATTTATTTTCCTTTTGGAGGCCTCATTGTGCTGAAAAATGCAGCACATTTAGCAGATGCGTGTACTGTACACGAGTTGGAATTGGAGAGGTCATGATGCCTTAACCCTTTCCGATACCAATAATGATAACCTGTAACCTGATAACATGATAAACTGTCCACTGTAGTGCCCGCTGTCCCTGAATGGTTAAAACTAACTCAGTAGCACCCATCAAAGTTAGAACAAAGTTCCAGCACGATAAACTAATTTCACGAATCAACAGGAAATTTGCCGTGCTTGTCTAGCAGAACAGGACGCATACCCCATATTGAATCAGGAAGTTGGCCGTTTTGTTTTGAACACTTTGACATTTTGCATTTTGTTGCACGCAACAACGCCTTAAATTCACACATTTTGGGGTCATTTTGACAATTCTCACAAATGTGGAAAAAGTTGCCCTCAACACCAGTTTACCCAGTCACAAAATTTGGTGGACATGTCTATCATCACTGGACACACCAAAAAGTATCAAGGACCGTTGCCTTGATTCCACCAAGTCAATATTTTAGTTCAAAGCAGCTATTTTTGGATCAATTTGACCATTTATGCTTGTCTGAAAAATTAGTCCCTCACACTCGTTTCACTTAATTAGGAGGTTATGTCTATCACAAGAGGATGCACACCAAAAACCCTCAATGGCAGACCACTGACGTGCATTTTGCGATTTAGCCACTTAACACTAGTTTCACCAACTGACTTGACCCAACCCCCAAAAAAGTGACAAGGACCCCTGCCCAGAATTGAACAGTAACTTGGCCCTTTATGTTCATTTGAACAATTAGCCACTTAACACTAATTTGTCTAATCGACAAGAAAACGAGGACCCCTTCCTTAAATTGAGAACCACGTTTGCCAGGTTGGTTGGAAGCTGCCTAGGAAAAAAAAAAAAACAAAAACAAAACGACAAGACTCGCGCGTTCCCTCCAGAAAAAGTCACCTTATATTTTGACGTGTGCAAGGACATTCAAGTATCAAGTCAACATCCACGTGACACAGCATGAACCTCCATAAAATACAACACTACAAAATATTCCATAGAAAAAACAACGCCAGAGCAACACTTGACACCAAAAACTGTACAAAACTGACAGCATTGACGTTCCGCTCGCAATTCATCAGTTGGCGCCTCTCGGCCTGAAAAAAGACTTTGAGAGAAGAACAAGGAGAAGGGACACAAGCCAAAGCGGAACAGATGACGTCATATCCACCATCAACGACATGGACGACACATCACATCAAATACTCTTTCTCTTCCATCTTGTCTCCTCCTTGGTCCTGGTTGTCTTGGTCATCCTCGTCCAGGGACGCCACCCCGGAGGAGGCCCGGTCCAACGGGAAGAGGCCGGAGCTCCACGCCCGAGCTTCGTGGAACACCTCATCCTCATCCTCCTCTTCCTCCTCTCCGGGAGATTCAGAGTGCGAGGTAGAGTAGCAAGAATCGAAACGACCGGACCTCCACTCGGGTTTGTGGTGGACGCACACTTCGCCGCCGCCGCACCCCTCAGAAATCCCTTCGGACCGGACCGGCGCTGCGCAGGGAGGATCGGATGTGGTGGAGTCTAAGGGAGGAGGAAAGAGTCAGAAAACCTACGTGGATGGGCGGTTGGAAGAGATGGCAAGGCGGGATTTGATCAGTGACGGAGGCGGAATGACGGTAGATGAGGCGGAAAGGCTTTTGGGTTTTGGGGGTACCTGCTGTGCTGTGAGGTGGGAAGTCGGCGGGAGAGCCCGCTTTGGGGTCCTCGTCGTTGGAGTCTTCCTCTTCTTCGTCCGCGTCGTCCTCGTCCACCGACGCCCACGCTCGCAGCTTGGCCTCGGCGATGGCAAACTGCTCGGCCACGCCTTGGGGGAAAGCCAACTGAGTCAAGTCGGTCCCCTATTGGAGCTTAGACCTACTGCGGGTCAAATCGACCCATTTCCAAGTATGAACTTGTTCAAATTTACGAGGTGTTCAGTTTAAAACTCCAGTAAGTGTTTGTTTGTTTTTTTAATCTATAAAAAGGTACTTAACGCTGCTCGTGAAATTGACCTATTTAAAAACCAGGTCAATGTGATACATTTCACTGTAGAAAATATGTTAAGGAAACAAATTGTCACTGTGTGTAATGAGGGTCAAATTGACCCAATTTTAAGCAAGTCATATTGACCCATATTGAAGTTTAAAAATCTAAATTGCCACATAACCACAACTAACTCTTTACATTTTGGAGGGGGGGGTTTCGTTTGTTATTTATCTTAAGCAACACTTCGCCCCACTGCTATACAGTGGGTAAAATTGACGCGTTTTTAAGCTTAAAGCAAGTCATATTGACCCATATTAAATTAAAAAATCTAAAAATACATTTGGGGCGGCCCGGTGGTCCAGTGGTTAGCGTGTCAACCTCACAGTGCAGCGATACCGGGTTCAATTCCAGCTACGGCCTCCCTGTGTGGAGTTTGCATGTTCTCCCCGGGCCTGCGTGGGTTTTCTCCGGGTACTCCGCTTTCCTCCCACATTCCCAGAACATGCATGGCAGGGTGATTGAACACTCTAAAAAGTTGTTCGTCAATGTGTGCCCTGCGATTTGCTGGCAACCGGTTCAGGGTGTCCCCCGCCTACTGCCCGAAGACGGGTGGGATCGGCTCCAGCACCCCCCGCGACCCTTGTGAGGATTAAGCGGATCAGAAAATGGATGGATGGATTGAAAAATACATTTGTATAAACTGTCACAAAAATCCAAACAAATCACTGTGGGGTTTTTTTTTGTTATTAAAGGAAGAAATCCTGAGGAGCAATTTAATACGCTGTCAGACTGTGGGTCAAATTGACCCATTTTAATGTTTCAAACAAGTCATACTGACCCATTTAAAGTTTAGTAATATAAACATACATATTTCTAAAATGTACAACAAAATCCCACAGACTCATTTTGATTCCCTAGCAGAGTTTACTGTCGTCCTGCTGTTATACTACGGGTCAAATTGACCCAATTTAAAGTTCTAGGAACAATATACAGTATTTTAAATGCACAAATACTGTTCTTTTATTGTTTTTATTATATGTACTTTCTTTAAACGTATACAATACGATAATTAATTGATCAAATGGAATAGAGTGGACAGTATTTTCTACTTTTGTGGGGGAGCGCGTTTATTTAAGAGTATTTTGCTCTTGTAAAAGAAGTGCCTTGGCTCAGTCACCGTTAAGGAAACACGGTCAAGTTTTTTTTTTTTTTGATTGCAGATAAGCGCTGCCACTTTCCTCTAAGCGACTAACGTCACGGCCGAGGATGAGTCACGGCTAACCAACAACAACAATGACGGCGACGACAAGTGATTCTCGCCGAGACAGCCGCTGCCACCAAGACCGGCCCCCGCTGCTCCCAGGAGACTTTGAGGGGGATTAGGTGCTTGACAGAAGGTCGGAGGTGCCAGATGGTGCCGCCGATAAACCCGACCAAGTTAAAGGATGCACGTGCCGCGGTGCAATCAAACACCGCCGCCGGCTACTTTCATGCTCAAGGCATTGCAGCGGATTCCAAATATATTTGCTGCACCTTGAACTGCGTTAGCGTGTGATTTCGACAACAACTACTGTGCAGAATATTGGTCGGAAATATGTCATTGTCTGTATTTTGGTCATGACACAATAACAGAAATGTTACAGAAGAAGATAATATTTGTTTAAAAATAAATGAAGAAATGGATGTGATTTTGGAGAAATTAGACATGGATATTATAGTACGCATGACGCTAAACATTTTATTCGCATCAATGTCAATGTGGGTGATGCGACTGTTTTGTTTTTTATTTGTGGATGTGTTTTAGAAAATGGTGAGTGCATTTAAGTACAATGAAAAATGATTTATAAAACGCAAATACGCATGTACTGCTTCTAAATGTGTTTCATGGATTGGATAGTCACACTAAAAATGTTGGGGGAAGTAATTCAAATTAATTGATTATACTCTTCACAAGGTACTATTACATTCATTCATTCTTATTTTGAAGGACTGAATTCACTGATTGTTTTAAAATAGATTAGGTGGCATACAACTTCATGTATGAGATAACCATTATTACAAGTTCAGATTTGAAAATGATAGCTTATTCATTACAAATACAATTCCAAATAGTGTATTCTAATTGGAATCGGAATAATGAATACATAAAATAGTGCATGAATTGGATTTTTAATCACAAATATTAACAATATTAAATGTATTGCTATTAAAATTGCTATTAATTTATTAATTTTTTTAATTTAATAGAGTTCATGTGACTGCCAGGAGAAGAAAAAAGTCTTTTTGCTAGTCGCAATAGTGCAAGGGCTCATCTCTAGACACTCGCACGAAACTACAAATATGCAAAATTGTAAAACGAGTGAATGTCTGTTTGCAGCGGGTGTGTGCGTGCGTGTGCGTGCGTGCGGTACCTGCGGCGAAGCGAGCCTCCTTCTCGACTTCGCTCAGGTGGCAGTAGGAGCTGAAGTGGGCCGCCTGGGGGGGGTCGACGGGTTTGGGCCAACCTTTCCACTCAATGAGGTGGGCAACCCGACCCTGGGCCAGCGAGGTGGGCTTGGTCACATGGTCCTTCACTGCCTGAGAGATCCCTGCATGTGTGTTTGGAACACAGTGTATTATAAATTCAGTATTTCTCTGAGCTGCTTGTTTGCCAAATATGATTCTGTGATGAAAATTTGTTTTTTTTTACCATTCAGGGACGATCTAGCTAGCGCCGCAAACTCATGGATGCCCACACTTTTCCGCGTGTCCGCCGGAGATTTTCCTGACTTTGGAATCATGTCACTCTCCTCGAATTTCACCTGCAAATCACAACAGCGCGTCATTATCACAAATCAGGCAAAAAAACAAAATAAAACCAAAACTTTCCGCTGTGGACCTCATCTTCGTCGAGCCACCTCCTTTCGCTACTCCTGGACCTCAGCCTCATAGCGCAGATGCGGCGTCTCAGTAAAACTAACAACTACGCGCCAAAAACAACCGGTTGGTGTGTTTGAAAAGCTTTTGGCCCTGCCCTACATTTGCTTGTTAAGCCAGCCAAGTGGTTGCCCAAAGGTCAGAGTGCAGGGAGGTGAGGGGCAAGCATATGTTGTGTAGTAAGCAGCTCAGGCCCACCGCGCAGCTGCTAATGCCGATTAAAAGCAATACTGCTACCTCACCCAACGTGCACATCATGGATGCTGGGTGAACACCAGGGATGGGACCTGCTAATGTCAAATGACAAATTACACCGGGTGAGTCCCAAACACTAGTAGGGAATCGATCTAAAATAACAACCACCCGCAGAATAAGTGAAATCCGCGATATAGAAGTACCCTATTTAAACACTCCCTTTGGCATGTTTTGGACACCTTTAACGGCACTTATTTTTCTTGAAGGTCTTGAAATAGACTTAAAATAATAAAAACACATTTATAAACATATTGAAAGATAGCACGAGCAATGAATAAGCCCCCAAAATGGTTACAGTTACACTTTTCTTACTATTGAGGAGAAGAGAGCATCGTAGCACAAGTAGGACAAACTCGCTGATTGTTACAGGTGAGGACGCAGTGCGCTAGTTGACAGCTGCGTGCTACGAGTGCTAATTGTGCCATTCTAAAATTCGACTATTAACATGTAGTACTTGACTAGCTGAACTAGTTTTTCATAGATGTCAACAGTTTTGCGTCATGAGTAACATGTAGTTATCTTACTAGTCGTGCAGCAATGTCATACAGTCGTGGAAACGTTCTACGAGAGCGCCCTCGTCATTCGACGAGTCCACTTAAATTGGATATCGAGGAAGCGAATACTGTACATTATTTGAAAAGCACGAGAGGGTCACAACTCTCATTGTAATGCAGCGCAACCACGGTAATACATTTGAAAATGATTATTTCCCCCCCCCCCCCCAAAAAAACCCAACATTATTGTCGCAATGGGTATCATAATGGAGAGTGCAGGTATACCAAATAAAGTGTCCTAGAAATCACACGCGCACACGCGCGGCCGACCACGGCGGAGGACCAACAAGTGGGTTCGAGGTGAGCCGGCCTGAGCAGCCTCCTTGCGGGGGCGAGTCAGAGGCGGCTGCGGGAGGGGGCGGGGGGCTAGACGGCTCCTATGTTATGAAATGGTGCGTTCAAGTACCGCAGCACTGCACACGAGTGACAGTCAGGGCCTGCAACGATGGAGTTTCGTCGCAAAAACAAGGCAGGGGGACGCAGAAATGTCGCTTCTGTCCCCCCCCCCCCCCACACACACACACACACACACGAACATGCACTCAGCTTCGGTTTGTGCCTTGCCGTCCATTCGTGCACTACGTATACCTGTAAATCACATCATCGCTCATCCTAATGCAGAGCAAGGCGTCCAACCCAAAGGCGATCAACAGATTCGAAGGAAGGAAAAAAGCGCGTCGGTCCACGCGCGTCACGCCATCGCGGCAAAGAGCATCTTCAGTCACTCCGGCGTCGGATGTCCAACACGGAAGGAGGAGGAGGAGGAGGTGGATGAAGAGAATGACGAGGAGGTACCAAGGATCGCTCGGGTGGCCAAATGTCTCCCGATATGACGAGCGTCATCAAGGCGGTGTCACACCCGCCCCTCCGGTACCCCATCTTTGTAGCCCCCTCCCCCCAACATGCGGGCATTATTTCTATTTATCTATATATGTATATATATATTTTTTTTTAATTTGCAGGCTCTGCTCGGTGCATTCAACAGGAGGCAGACAACTAGGCGACATACAAGAAGAGAAAACATAAAAACGCACGCGGTGGTGTCTTTCCCCATTGAAATGAATGGAAACGTAATAATCTGTTCCAGTGTCATCAAGACACTGATTTTTTTTTTACGTTTTTTTAATCCCTCAAAACAAAAAACGCACACAACAGTATTGCACGTAAAACTATTACTCCCCAAAACAACCCCCCCCCCCGCGCCACCGAAAAAAGTTCTGTATCATCATGATGATGAATTTTACATTAGAACGTGATGAAACCGATGTTACTTACGTGATACGTTTGATGTATAACGTGAGAAATTTTACACTGACCAGGCCAGCAAGGTCTGGAGTTCTTTGGATGTCTTTTTCTAGGTTGTTTTGCAAAGTCGTGGATGAGTCGTGGTCACACTCTGGGGTCGACCACTCCAAGTATTATTGCCATTGTTCCCGGTTTTCTCCATTTGTGGATAAAGGCTCTGACAATGGTTCGCTGGAGCTCGGAGATGGCTTTTCCAGGAAGATAGATTTCAAAAACTTTTTTCTAATTTATTCTTGAACTGCTTTGGATTGTGGCATGATGCGTTTATTTCTGGAGCGCTTGGAGCCTACTTCACTTTGTCTGGCAGATATGTATGTGATGTCTTGATTCAACAAACGCGACGCCGTGTTGCCTGTGAAATTGAACTCGGCGTTCAGAAAACTGTTGTTCGTCAATGTTACTTCGTGATTTAACAAGGGGGAGGGAGAGGCAGTTTTGGATTATTATTTTTGTGCCTTAATAAATTAAATTGGCATTTAGAAACTGCATTTTATATTTTCTTGGGTTGTCTGCGTGATATTAAAATTGGTTTGATGAACTGAAATCTTTGCATGTGATAACTATGCAAACAATAGAAATGAGGAAGGGGGGGGGCAAATGTTACTTCACAGCACTGTAACTTGTGTTTTAACAATATAAATTTCATGTTTCAACATGATAAATTTCACATAAGATAAAGGCGATGTCATAAGGTGATAAATTGCCATGATGTGATAAAGTCAGCATTATAATGTGATAAATTTGATATCGGGATAAAATTCACATTAGAACTTGGTACAAAAATTTTTGAAAGTCCTTTGAGAATAAAGGTGGATATTACTCAAGAAAAAAAGTATGTTAAAGAACTTTTTCAAAGTATACAACTTATAACACTAAAATCTAACTTTTCTCGAAAGTATAAAATGTTAATTCAATCTTCTAATTTTAACTACACAACTTATCTTGAAAGCATACAACTCTTGTCAAACTACAAACATCATCTTGTAAATTCCATAACCCCAAAGAGACCGTGGCACGTTGAAATTTCTTCAAGTGGAGTGTTGCGAACAGTCGAGGACAACATGAACCGGGTTGAAAAGGTTGGGGGGGAAAAAAAATTCACTGCAACTTAATAAGTCCTTTATTTGCAATGTTCCTCATCTTTCCAGTTTCCGATGCAAAAGAAGCCAGAATTTCTTAAATAAAGAAAGCAAAAAAATATATTTACAAAATTCCAATAAAACTAATAATCAAAGGATTATCTAAAGCACCTCTCTGCATCCGGACAACTGTTATTTCAAAAATAACCACAAAACAAAACAAGTTTTTAATTAGTATATATTTACAGAATGCTCCAGAAAGGAGTTTCCCACTTGATGTAGAAAAAGGCTTCCGGATATTTTCTGCTTTAACTTTCTATAATGCATCAAGTCGATTTCTGTAGATTTCAAGTTTTAATGGCGATTGGGTTCGGTGAAGTGTCCCTCCGCAGCGGAGGTAAAAAGACCAAGAGTCAGTCGGCGTGATGACGAGGAAGCATTGAGATCACACCTTATTTGTGTGCATCTGTCCTCTTAAAATCCCAGCAAGAAAAAGCGCACCCACCCCTCAAGGAATTTCTGGAGACAAAAAAAAAAAAAAAAAAAAAAGCGGAGCCACCCGACCATGCGATGTCGCTTTTTTTAAAACGCACTTCAGTCATGCTGGGCGACCCACTACTGACAATCATCTCATAGATCAAAAAGGAAAAAAAAAAAAAAAAATAAACAGTCTGTCGGTCTGCAGTGTGGTGAATTTCTTAATGGTGTGGCGGGAACATGTCACAACCTGCATGAGCTATCCTGCTGAATTACTTTCGAAGTTTATTTCATAAAGAGAGCAGGCCGGTGAGGCGGGGGAAGGGGGGACAATGAAGAAGGAAGAGAGAGGGAAGAGAGGAGAAAATGATTGTTTTCTGAGTCTATCCCTCAAAAAAAAAAAAAAAAAAAAAAAAAAAAA